ACATTTGTATAAGCTTTCTCTTTAAAATTACAATTGACGGAATTCTATAAAAAAATATTAAGCAATTTTATCATTCAATCTTAATGTTACAATGAAGAATAACATTTTTAACTGAGTTAAATAACTCAGTGATGTAAAATTTGCATGAGAATTAGCAATCTCTGTATCGCGATGCTTCCTATAGATGAAAGATAAATATTTTTCTCAGCTAACTGTTCGAATTGTTACAACACAAACAATGCTTTGTTTTATGTGACGCAAACAAGTTAGTCAATATTTACCCAATAGAATCTAAACACATTAACGTGAGTGAATTTAAATGCGAATATTGATAGATATACCAAAAAAATACAGTGTATTGGTAAAGTCGGTTAACTTTTAAAAAGTAGTTCAAAATACGGTGCAGCTGTGACCCAGAATTGACCCAGGTCCGAAAGTATGACAATGCGAGTCACTCGTGACGTCATACCAAGGAAAAATTCTAATGTACTATGCAAACACCTTCGTAAATAAATTTCACACTGAAAGCAATATTTAAATCATTATTTATATTACGCCGAGTCCCAAACCCTCGCTCAGTATTCAAGTGCTGTCTTAGTGACGTATTAATTGTGACATTTCTAACGAAGTACTCCCCAGGGTTATGCGCATGCGTAAACAAATCAACCCTTAGGTAAACCAATATGGCGGCGGACGCCAGGACCTAAACACGCGCCGTCTATTTACATCGCTTTTCCGCTCAAATAACTTTTGTGGCTATGGAATAATTTCTATTGTTTTGCGTGTATATAATTTATATATGTTTATTTTGCGTGTGACGTTTCTTTGGGACGTCTAGTGCAGTGTGACGCAGTGCTATCATATGTTATTTCACAGTCATACGTTAAATCGCAGGTCAATGCCGTGTGTTGTCAAGATACGTCATTTACGAGTTCAACTTGGCGTGTACGATATTATAAATATCCGTTATATTTAGAACGCGATTGGAAAAATAAATAGCGTTCCACTCTGCTTGATGATAGTAAATTTTCCACGTGATAGTTAAAGACAGTTTAATTAGAGCGGCTTAAGTTTGGAAAAACTACGTAATTGTGGGGCAGTATTTTGTGGTCGTGATTATATACAATCAGTCAAGCTGCGTCGGTCGCGAGTTTCTCCGGCAGCTCTGCTGCTGGGGTCACGGCCTGTCTCGGGGCTCGTGGAACCGATCCGAAGCCCTGAGGAGCCCGCGCTAGATGTGGCCCAGGACAAGTCTTATTGGGGCAGCGTCGCCACCGCTACATCAAGTAATGATAATACAATGATAAATTAATTTAATCCGCTCTAGATAAAAGATTTGACGTCTGTTTAATCTTCCAAAGATTATTTGGAGGCTGTTAAATTTTCTATATATTTTTAAAAAAGTACACGTCATGTATGATTATAAATATCTTAAAATATATTTGTTTTTGGTTTATAAATTTATTAAAATAGTAATTTAAATAAATTTGGAGTTCCTTTTAGTTTTATTTTGTTTTTTTGAGTCGATTTTTAATAGCAACTGTTTTCTAAAACAGTCTCGAACATCGACTATATCTAATCAATCATTTTATATCTCATGCATGAAACACAAACTCGATGTTTATTATAGGAACTTTAGATTTCTATAAATTTAAATAGTTTATGAAAATTTATTATTAATAGAAGTTACTCTGAAATCAAATTAAAACTATGAAACTCTAATTGAAAATATTGATTAAAATATTATTATTGATATGAGCAGAATTTTTCACAATCTCCTTACATCGCGTTTCAGTAACTTTTGAGTGCTCTTTTAATGAAAACTAGGAAAGTACAAATGAGCGATCAAAAATACCCCTTTCCAACTCCAGTTCCCATCATGAGTCATATGCCAGTAATTCTCAAACTTCAATAAAATAAATTTAGAGTGTTATAAACATTTTTACTGCTCTAATTTAATTGTACACTCAAAACCAAACAAATAACAGTATTGAATAGATTCGCAACGCCATTATAAACAGAAATGTTTCATTTATAATGGTGTATTGGATCGAAACCAATCGATTCGTTGCTATCAGCCTATACTTTGAGAAACTGTTGTGTTTATCGTTTCAATACTTTGCTACCGTTTTACGCAATGCCATTTACTTATAAAAAATAATTTACCAGAATTATTACATATTATTTGCTAACATCGACCCTATTATATTCCGAGCAAATTTTGCGACAGCATATTATTAATTTCTACTCATTAAAACAGTTAATTTAGTTATAAAAACTCTTCAATAAAAACTTTTCCGTGCTGCAATTCACTCAACAAAGGAATTCTTTCACGCCTGTCATTTTTTACACACATGCAACAACAAACGAATTAAAATAAAACGCGTATGTATATTTTTTATAAGAAATAAACAACACTTTCATGTTAAATTTAAACCAACATAATAACTGCAATATCATTAATATGACCGTAAATAAAACGCCACTTTCCAACCTGACAGTTGCGAAATGTCAAAGGTCAATCACTCCTGATACCATTTTCGCAACGAATATAGTTTGACCTTTTGAAAATTTCTATTAATGTAACAAATTGTGGTTATAACTTACAAGTGTTATTTTATTACTTATATTTAACAATGACTTTCATAAAACTGTGTTTTATATGAGAATTACTTTGAAGAACTTTTTTTCATGTAAAAATATATATACATTTAAGAACCATGCTAATAATAATAAGTCAAAAGATATCACTCTCATATTAACTCGCAAATGTATTTCCCAGAGGCAAACTGTTTTCGTTTTACATACATACGTCTAAGATGTTTACGACTTTGATTGCTCTGGAGATTTAGATGTCTAACACCTTTTTATGTATGGAAATCCCAAGATAGATACATATTTTGGAACACTATTCTTATAGGTTCATTTCAATGAAGTCTATTTTTTTCGGATATACTACGTGTGCTTTTTTGTAAAAAAACTACGTGTGCTTTTTTGTAAAAAAACTGCAAACTCCCGACGTTTTGGCTACTTTTCAGCAACCGTGATCACTGACAGATGAAAAGTAGCAAAACATCGATAGTATATAGTTTTTTACAAAAATAAAGCACGCGTAATATATCTGAAAACTACTAGTTTCATTTAAATGAACAAAAATCGCGAATATGTTTCTTTAATAAGTTATTTTCGCCGTTTAACGCATTGCAGATAATTTAGGTTCAGCTATAAGTCTCGAATAATAAAGTATTTTCCGTTCTGACGGCTGTTGGCTAATAGGCTGTCGTGACTCGCAGTCGATCATGTGGAATGGAACTTATTGAAACAAATTGTTCTTAGAACTTCAATTGTTAGATGTGAAACTAATCAAGTTATTTATTATATATGTATAATATTATGTTATTTTTGATGATTGAATATAAGATTTTTATTATTTACATATAAATCTTTGTATTTGCACTATTTAAATTGTTTTCTTTTTTTCTATGTTCTCTTTTTTACATATTATTCGTTTCATATATTTTAGTTATTGTTGTTGATTGTCCGGGAGCATTCGTTCTTCAACGATAGGGCCGCTAAAATTGTACATAACATATACTTTTGAATCTTATATTTTAATAGTTGTTAACTTAGATGTGTGCAATAATTAATTTTTATATTATTATTACCTACTTATCTCATATTTATAGAAGGCATGAAAATATTGAAAGAATTTTTAACCCATTAAAGTAATATGCAGCAGACAGAATGAAAAAGCAAATACATTTTTATTTTCTATTACAGAAAAAGTTATTTTTAAAAATCAAGTAACCTACTTATACTGGCTTTTAATAGAGGAAATAAAACTGCTTTTAAAACCAGAAAGTTTTACTTTTTAGTACGGTTTATAAGTTGTTATAAATTTTAGTTGGCTGAGAACATTTTGAACATTCGTAGTTGTTTTTTGTTAAGAGTTTTGATGTAATGGTGCCAGTTACGGAAATTAATCGAAAGATTTTTAATTAAGATCTTTTCGTGTAAAAATTATTAAGGTTTTTCTATGCCGTATGTTTCTTTAGCTGTTAATCATAAAAACAACGAATGTCAACACGCTTGTTATTTCCCATTGTATTCTGTAGTTTAAAAAATTGCTTGTTTCGTTGTTGTTCGTTGTATTGTCTTGAATCATTAGCTCCCTATTAAAGTGTCGGATTACGACGTCCATGTTTTGATATTTGACACAATTGTGCGTGATGACGTCATCGTTGAAGTGACGTGTTTATTTTTGTATTAGATTTATTTATCAAATTCAATGTCCAATGAATAGTTTCACAATTTTTAATATGTTTCATGAAATTATGGTCTTCTGACGTAAAATTGTTTTCTTTTCTTAATTGTATTTTGAGATATCACTTGTTTTTTTTATTATTTTAATCTTTAATAGCGAAAGCTTTGAAGTAATTGTGAGATCGTAATGACGCAAGAAAAGTGAAGATTATAACTAAATGACTTTGGATTGTTTTATAAGTTAAAATTAATCGCCTTACCCATACAGCCTACAGGTATTATTAATCTTCTACTTAGTTAGAAATCTACTAGACTAGTACTTAAATAAAGTTGTAAACTTCGCTTACGTTGAGATTATAGCTAAGAAATTGCAGCAATGTCTGGCGTTTAAGTAGTTATCTTAGATCTGTAATCCCTCGTAATTAATTACCAACTAGATTATAGTTAGGAATCTATCTATCTATCTATTGACATCGTAAGCGAACACGACTTGTTTTATATTGCAATTTGTAAATCGAGAAGGCGAAAGTAAGAGTCTTAAATATACCTTACGATCGTACTAGTATTTAAATGTATATGTAGAAATCGGTAATATCAACTTTATACTGTAATAGTTGTGTCGAAGTTATTTTAAGTCAAACATATTTGGTTATGTAGTGATAGTTTGGGTTTTGAGTTGTTAGTTTTGATTTTGATAGTATATTATGATTCCTATTTAAATGATGTATTTTTTCCAGCTACTAGTGGTTCAGGCAGTGGTTCTACTGGTGCAGAGTCTCGTAGAGGAGATGTGACCCCACACGCACCGCCACAAAGACGACTTATCAAAGTCGATTTTGACAATCTTGAGGTTAGTTTATTCAATAAGATTTAAGTTTACCTGATTATTATTGGTTTTCAAGACGTATGTTAAGGTTTAAATGGTTTGTACCTTTATATCTACATGAATCTATTGTATTAATAATTATTTTAGGTAGTTCACTACCCGTGGTTTTATTACTATAAAAAACTTCATCCTCTCCACGTTTCGGGTACTTTTCAACAACCGTGATTACGGGCAGATAATCCGAAGTGATCCGAAAATATTAGTTTGAGTTTGTATTTGAAGAATAACAATCCTGTATTACCACAAATTTAACAACTTTACATTTGCTTACCTTCTTACATTAGGTATTACTATTAACGTAGTTTATTAAATGAGAGCAGAAAGGCTTCGTATTCACTATATTTGCTACGGTGCAAACTCGTGCTAAACCTACTGATATCCTTAATCTATAATAAATTATTCAAGTTATGTTTCCTAAATTCAAATTTCGAGGCTACAAACTTTTAGTGTAGAAAAAATATTGAATATTTATTTTTTTGTTAATATAAAACTGTACATAAAACATTCGGACTAATGAAAATGACCTCAATATTCTTTCAATGTAATAAAAAATAATGAATTTATTTAATTTCGATCATAACACTAACGTTTATAGCTAATATTGAGATTTTACAAAAACTTTGACGGTTAAATAGATTGAGTAAAATCATGAGAAGCGTTTTTTGGCTCAGCTGGTATTGATTCCAAGCGCTACTAGTCAGTTTTTTGTTGACCGTAATCAATAATACTAACGTGGCCATTCATTCGTGATCTTCTCAAAGCGAGGTTATTACTGATTTCATGGAAGATTATAGTACAGAAGCCCTCGAAGTAAGTAGAATTTTAATACAGGATATTCATGTAACACGTGCTTTTAATAATCTTTCTTATGTGATGTAATTTTTGTCATTTTCTTCGCCTCCGTGTCAACGACTCGGTAATCGTTCTTGCGTGAAGTTATCTATACACTGGTAAAGTTTTTTATCAATAAGTATAAATATCCAAATTAAATCATACAAAAAACTGAAATGCTTTTAGAAAAATTTATATCTACTATGAAATCGAAGTAAAAAATTAAAACAAATGTGTCAGAGCGATGTTAAAGACGCAATTAATTAGCAGAGAAATTAAAACTAACGGTAATTGATAAATAACTTGTTATTTACGACTACGTTACTTATAACATGCGATTAAAATAAACATCTAATAGCTGACATTAGTCATGAATGAGTGAAACTTTCACACATTTCTACATTAAACGAGTGGAATTTTATATATAATAATAAAATATTATCAAGAGCTCTTCATTTCCAATAAAGGATAATAAATAAGTGGAAAGCAAACATTTGAACAAACGGTTCTCTCAAGGCTGCAATAAATGACAGGCGATTTAAAACTTTATTTTATACCCGAACAAGTTGCTTATTGCAAATCAATTAAGGAGCCCTAATATACAGATGTACTTGGAAAAATTAATTACCGCAATTAAATTTACTTAATGATGTAAGTTTAGTATTAAATAACGAAAATGTAACTTCATATAATTATACTATTACGGTAATTGATTATTATCGTAAGCGACTGGTTTTCTTTGAACAGTAATTTCAATTTGATTACATTGTTATAACATAAGACAAGTAACAGGCTTACTTTTCGTTCAGGAAGACTGATACAATATTTACCAGAATCAAAATTTGTTTGACATCAAGGCTGATTTAAAGTCACTGTGACAAAAATAATATTTATTCTTTTTCTCGTAAATAAATTGAGTTTTCCATACAAATATGCAAGTAGTTCCTGGTGCGTGTATGGCAAAATAAAATGTCCTAGTTATTTAGAACAGGTTGTTAACCGTGTTGAACTCCGAATGGTTATGTTTTTCTAAGCTATTTGCACGGAAGCGTGTGTCGTTACTGTATCGCGTCTTTTTAGGTCATGAAGGCTAACGGCCCTAAAGTCTGTGTCGCATGAGCGAGCATCACGATTAGAGGCATATCTAATTTTCGCCGGAACGTCACCGCGTATAATGAGTCAGAAGTCTTAAGAAAAATTTTCGTCATATATTTTATCAAAACTTACTGACGCAGTCCGCACTGACCGCATTGATGACGTCATAACCTGCGTTACCAGTCGACGTATCTTTAGTACCCTGCGTGATGTAACAAATAGTTTACTAGTAATATTACATAATCGATTTGGTTTCGATTACGTAATGATTGTAATCTATGTACTGATTGTTGTCTTATTAATTGATTACGCATCTTCATCAGCCAAAACTATATTATTATTTTGTTCCAATCTTACTATCGATAACAATACCTTTATCTAGAACTAAACGTAAAAGCTTGAGTGAATTTTACATATATGTATGTACATGTATATGTATTTCAAGCTCAGCCTGAGTTTGTAGTCGGCGCGCCTACTTTCAACTAATAATACACTCCATCTATGGAAGTATCAAATTGATAATAAATTTTAGTGTCGATTGCGGTACCTTTCTAGAGATAATTTAATAAATATTATTGACATCGATAAAATATAATAAAATCCACGCAAGAATTAAACTATCGATACTGATATAGGTGCAACACTATATTTTAGTCTATTTTTCCTTGATTACTTAGTAATTGTTCTACGTAGTCGATTCATTATTAATCATTATTATCTTTTAAATAATTACACTTTTAATTAAAAGATTGTTTATTTTCTGATACGAGAAATTAAATCTAATATTTAGTACAAAATTAACTTCTCTATGTTTAAGAAATTAGTTATAAAAGGAAATTTTTTACATTTTTATAGTTTTCTTTATAACAAAGTTATGTTAAATATGTAAATAATATGTAGTTAGTTTATCCACAGTCGTGTCCACAGGTGACCTAAATAAAACGCCTTCCCTTTAACTATATGGCTTCAGTTTTCTATTGAATTATTGTCCATATAACCCACTTAAGTCGATTACTATTGATATTTTTATAGATGTTTTATTTGCTGCGTTATTGAGCGTACATACTGCACAGGCGGTAACATAATTCAATAGTTAGTTATGTTTCTTTTAATGATTGCTTTTATTCCATTTACTACCCATATATCCTGTGTCATTGTTTCGTACCAGTGTAATGAGATCCCTCTTTGATCTCTTTCCGTAATGGAGCGTTACCGACTTCATTTTCTCTCCCGACCCACTTTCTAGAGATGAATTTTTAAAATCCAATTCACCATTGCTACGTATTATCAATTCTTTATACCATTGTTAGAACATACAGTATATTATTATTTCTTTGTTATAAAAAATTTAAATGTAACGTAGTTTATTACTAAAAGATTGTTGTTATAAAGAGGCCTTGTATCGTCTTTCTTAAACGATATTTTTTTATTAATAGTTTTTAATAAACTAATTAACTGCAAATAGAGCCTTTTGTTTCTTTTACATTATTATAATAGTAATTTCATTTTTAATTAGGTATGTCAAAAAAAAACACTTTAATAAGTGTATGAGATAAGTTAATTTTAAATATAACAAATAAAACCTCGACAGGAACATCAGATCGTATAGATAAAATTGACATTGTCATCTAATCTACTTTTTCGTATCTTTTCAGGATGACGAAGACGAAGATGACACAGAGACTTGTGTGAGTCCCGAGACCTGCCCGCCGCAACCGTTCCCGAGGCACACCATCAAACAGACGCCTCCCAAACCATGGAAGAGAACAGGTTCGTACCACCAAATATACTACCTATCGATGACTGAGCCAGCACGCTGCTTGTACCAGGAAAGAATAATGGTCGGCTTCGTTCACAAGCGCTGAGCTAGCTTCAGCGGAACACAAAACTCTGTCAATAAATCCAAGTTATGTAATACTATGGTGGTAGGGCCTAGCTGTGGTCAAATTACTGCAGCTCGAACATGGGCTGGCTTGATTGGGGAAGTACCAGCTCACAGAAGATAGCCGTCAAGTAGTCTTAGAGAGCCGGGTGTCCTTTCCCTTTTCCCATCTTTGCCTCTTCCCCAATTTAGGATCGCAAAGCATCCACAAAATACTTTTGCGTATGGATATCTTGTAGTTCGTTTGTCCTTTGCCTCATATAAAAAATACTAGATAATAGTGAGATTTATACACAAATGTATAATACAGTGTGTGTTGTATAGTGTCCGTGGATACGCCGCGGGCTCCTCCCCGCGCGCGCATCTCACACGACGAGTACCATCAGTTTTTCGACGAGACTCTCGAATGTATGGCCGCATGTCAAGAACCGCTTCACAGCTAGATATTAATTTGGCTAAACGTCATGCTTACGCTTTACGCTGTTTGTTGTGATAGATACATTCACTTACTAGATATAGTTTATTATTAATTGTTAATGTGTAGAGTATTAATGGATTTTTGTCATCAATTTGTGAGTAACGATAGTAAAAGTGTTTCGTTAATTTTCTCATCTATATTTCTGTGAATCATTAACCTTATAACATTTTATTAGTACATTTTATTAGTACACCAAACTGAGACGTGCTTAACATAACCCAGAACTGACTAACGGTAAATAACATCCGAGCGGTTCTGTTTAGACGAGGTTTTTGTTACCAAACTCTGCAATGCCCGTGTTCTGAACGGAATTTTAATAGTACATTTCGTTGTTGCCACGGTTATTATTCCGCTTCTTTTATTTTTTTGATGTAACAATATAAGTAGACTCAAAAAAATATTACATTCAATGCTTTATTTATTTATAAGTTTACGTTCAATACTTATTCCTAGTACGCTTCGACATATACGTCATTGTATTTAAATTTTAAAATATTTCTTTTACTTTACTACCACATTCGCTTACGTATTACATGATTATATTATTCGATGGACCATTATATTATTATTTTTTTAATTTCCTCACAATTTTTACATTAAAAGATTTGATTTGAAGCAGAAATTCATCCACTTTATATTTTCATTTATTTGTATGTATATGTTTATATAATATTATATGTTATGTCTCAGCCTACGACCTGGCAACTCAATGTCCTTCTCGCCGAGCCTCCATGCGTCGCCACACAATAACACACGCACACGCGTGCCCCACCACCGACGGCGCACAGTCACTGCCACATTCCAGGTATGATATGATATGATACGACAAGCTATGATATGATACGACAAGCTATGATATGATATGACAAGCTATGTTATGATATGACATGATATGATTCCTTACAGATTTTAATGCAAAATAAATTGATTTCAAAAATTGTGTAATAAGAAAGACGCTCTCAAATTCTTATAATTTTATTTAATACTAAATCCCCCCCCCCCCCAGCTTCGCCAAAAGAAGCTTTCCAAAGTCTGGGTTAAAAACTATCCTATGTTCTTTCTCAAGGTCAACTCTATCTCTGTACCAAATTTCATTAAAATCAGTTCAGTGGTTTAGGCGTGAAAGCGTAATAGACAGACAGACAGACAGAGTTACTTTCGCATTTATAATATTAGTAGGGATATATATTATATTCGTCGTGTTTTATGTTCACATAGACCGGGTTCTCGCGCCTCCTGCGCAGGGGCGTCACTCAGTAGTGACGACGCTCAGCTGAATGAGTTGTCCTGGTCGCGAGCCTCGCTCCAGGACGAACTGATCAAGTCGGTTAGTGACAGCCCTACCAGCACGCATGTGAGTAGACGCTAGCTATTAAAGAACATTAGTGCTATGTATTAATATATATTACCAATTACATTAGTCGGTCTTTGAAAAAAAATGGACATGAGGTAATAATTGTGATCTTCGCGTATTTTTCTTGATTTTTTCTTTATTTTTCATACGATACATAGATTTAAATGAAACCAATATTTTACGTATTATACTACGCGACTTTATTTTTGTAAAAAACGACATATTCCCGATGTTTCAGCTACTTTTCAGAAACCGGAAACAAAAATATTAGTTTCGTTTATATGAATAAAATTCGCGAAAATCTTAGATTGTTTAGGCCACATTTTTTTTTTGTAAATTGAATGATTCCTTTCAAAGGTCGTTCATTGAAATTTTACAATAGTGTTTCAGATGATATGTCTGTATATAAGACGCTGTTGTTATTGCTTGGAGAATTGCATGATTTTATTTTTCTCTGTTCGAATGTAAGTTTGAACACTAGTAAAATAGTAGTGACGTAGATTATAGAGTATTTGGTGATTTTTTTTGTTACATATATGTGATATAGCGATGTTTAAATTAGTAGTTTAGTTAGTTTAGTGTAGACTTTGTAGTTTAGTGCGTAGATATTTCTAGATATATAGAATATGGAATATATCATGATAAAAAGATGTTCTTATGTTGGTGCAAAGACTTAGTAGACGTAGACTTGAGACAAATACATATGTAGTATGGTATGTAGAATTAAAGTTGACTTAAGACAAAATAATCGAAAGAAATGTATCTGTACTATGCTTACTTTATAAACCTTAAAATAGAATTAACAAAACTACAGTCATTTAAATTCACATACACCTAGTGTTAATTAACGTTCGCATAATCAAAGATGACGATTTATTTTATCGTAATTTCTTTCATTATTTTGCCAAATAATCGTTATTAATTTTATATAATGATGTGGAACAATTAATTTCAAATAATTGTTTCATAATATTACAGAAACAGTGGCAGGATGCTATAATATCAGACGAGCGTCTCTCCCTCACGTTGGAGGAGATCGTTCACATCAGGTCTGTGTTGACGAAGGCTGAGCTGGAGGTACTACCTGTGGAGGGGAGGGTCAAGGAGGACGTGGAGAGGAGACGGGTTAGTTTATTGTATTAGAGAGAGAGAGAGAGAGAAAGAGAAAGAATATATTAGGTTTATTTAATGAGAAAAATCGACACATTGATTTTACTTGTATTAGTATTTATCTATTATTAATACAATTATCATTGTATGATTTCAGATTCAGATAGAATCAAAGTTTAGAATAGTGGTAGTTTTATATATACATTGTATATAATTTTTTGTATACTTTAGTGATAAATATTATTGGTTATTTTATTAAGTCTGTGGGTAGTTTTTTAGACGTAAAATATATTACGACTATCGCATTGTGAATTTTCATAGGAGCCTAACTTGCTTGATTTTTCCTATACATATAATAATAATATGCTTTTAATTTCCAGGTTTGTTTCCTATGTCTCAAGACGAGGTTCGGTATCTTCGGTCCGTGGGGTCAGAAGTGTAAACTATGCAAGAAGACCGTCTGTCAGAAATGTTGTTCGAAGGTGATTTGAAAAGCAGTTATTTAGTCTATTACATCTATATTTAGGATTAAAAATACTTTTAGCTGGTAAAGAAAAACTTTAAAAAAAATTAATTGTTCAATAGGCACCTAAAATCGTTTATCAATCGAACTTACTCTTATATTTTAATTTTAATATATCCAGTTTTCAAAATCTATGAATAAACAAAATTTCTTTTAAACTACATAATTCATCATATCTAATATTTTTACTAAATACCAAATAAAAACTATATTCTACTAAATGATGTTTATACATAATTTTAATCTCCATTTCATTAACTTAGAACAAATTTTAATATTACATTAGATGCGTATACCTACGGAACACTTCGCTCACGTGCCCGTGGCGTTGCTATCTCCTTCCTTACTACCCTCGCCTGATGAAGAGACGGCCTTCCCTCGCTCACTGATGGCGCGGCTTGTGCTGCCCGAACACGCGGTGAGTTAACGTGTAAAGGATAGTTAACGTGGACTATATAGTTCACGTTAAAAACATGTGCTTAGGCTACGATGGAAATGTTAATATTTTTATCGAATAGTATATTTTTTCGTTTAATGATGTTATGTATTCGGTATTTATTAAGGTCGTGGTGGCTTATAGGTTAAAGGCCCGCCACTCGTGTGTGAGAGCGCGGGTTCGGAATGTGACAAGTACCGATGTGATTTTTCAGAGTCATATGTACTTTCTTAGAGTATTTAGGCACCACTGAGTACTGACAGTTGAATGAAAACATCGTTTGGAAACTCTTCTTCTTCTTCTTCTACCTGGCAATTTCCCAGCTATAGCCAGGGTCTGCCTTACATGTTTGAATAGTTTTTGGCTATTTGTTTTTACGACCGGCCGCCTGCCTGACATCAACCCTCTTTTTGGGAATCAACATTAATCAGTGATGTCTAAATATACTTAGAAAGTACATATGATTCGGAAAAATCACATTGGTACTTGCCCGGGTCAGGATCGAACCCACGCCCTCGACGACGAGAGGCGGGCCCTTTAACCACTGAGCCACCACTGACTCATAATATCAAATTATAAGTTTGAAATCACCAACCCGTTTTTAGCAAGCGTGGTGATTAATGCTCAAATCTTTTTCATATGAGAAGATGCCTTTGCTCAGCAGTGGGCTCTGATAGGCTAAGTAGGTGAGTATCTCCATATAAATGAACGTTAATATCAATGTTATATTTTCTTCAGGCGTCAGTAGAGAACAGTGTAGGCTCCGCCCCCAGCAGCCCCGGGTCCCGCCGCATCACGTCAGCCCCGGGCTCCCGCGGCGCCTCCGCCCTCGGTTTCTCGGACTCCTCCGCCGGCCCCGGTAGCATGCCCTGTGTCTCCACACCACTATCAACCTTCTCCACATTCGATCGCAGGTATTATTATATTTATATATTAAATATTAGATTAAGTAAACTCATACCAAACATTTACGAAACACGTCTTTGCCACACAGCTCAGTGCATTTTTATACCTCTTATAGAATTGATAGTGCAGTTTATTTTATAACAGACAGTATGTATGTCATAAAATGATTTGATTGGTTAATAACATATAAATTTAATAATAAGAGTCAAATTTATTTTATATCTGATATATGTATAGGTAATTGAGAAATTAAATTTCAATAAAGGAACAAAGGAAATGACTTTCTCTTGTCCGATTATTCGAACTAATGAATACTGATTTAATGACGTTTCATTGTCACCAGAGCGAGGTACGGTCGCAGTGCAGGTGCGGGCGCGGCGGAGAGACTGCGAGGTGTCCAAATGGCGGTCTGTCACGACTGTAAGGCGATGGTGCTACAGATCATAAAGTCTTCGCGCGCCGCCCGCTCCGCTTCCCGCGACCGCGCGCTGCGACACCTCACCCTGGACCTGGCGCCCGTGTACACCGCGGACTGCTAGACCGACCCGCCGACACCGGAGCCACACATCACTAGGCACAATTCATACGGAGCTCAAACTAGTTAATATCACACCGAGCTTCATGTATGTGACGTATGACGTATGACGAACACTTTGACAATACTCTATGACATTGACAGACAGATAGTGATGAGTTTTAAAACGTTATAATGATTTATGTATCGCACAAAACTATTTACATTGTTCCGGCGATGGTTATCACGTTTGATGTATTTAATATTATATATATAGAGAAAAATTTTAAACAAAGAATTATATCTGAAATAATTGAATAGATAATTAAAAAGGAATATTTTGTCATATATATGTAATATATTTATATATATTCCATATAATAGATGCTATGTCTACAATTTGAATGTGAATCGTAATCTGTGTTCAATATAAATGTTCTAAGTGTTATGATATGAGATTGTACTATATTAAAGTTGAGACATTTCTTATTTCCTTTGTAACTCGTACATTAAATATTTTTTTATAATATGTAATAACGTTGACATTTGTACGGGCGTTGTTTTGTTCAATATTATCCTGTGCCATATGAACAGATTGGAACAATGTTTTAGGTGAGAGTCAAATGTACAAAATGTAACATTCTAGCTATCATTCGGAAGGCTTAAGAATAGTTCATATTTATTGTGTGCTTTTTATTGGATACTGGTCACACATACTTTTAGATATACACTAAGTGTTTAAGCTTTAAGAGGTTATGTCGTTTTTGTCGCTTTGAGCTAAAACTGACAATTATTCTCATAGCATACCTTTCAAACATCGGGTACTTTCTAATTAAAATTTTTATGTGTTGTGTCGATGTGCATATATACAAAAGTAGGGACCACGGCTGCTAGCTTAAATAAAATTAATTTTAGAATAATAGTATTTTATTAAATACTTTTCTTTAATAAAATCGTTAAAATCCGTATCGTTTCTTTACGAATCGTACGTCACTAAGGAATGGGTTAGTGTTGTGATACAAAAAAATATATGTCGATAAAGTACCTTGAATTGTAAAGAATTGATTTCTTAATTATTATAATTTTAGTATCAACTTTGCATAGAGTATCTTCTTATTTACCTTAACAATGGGGAAAACTCATTTTGCTAAACATATTAAGGAGTGTATATTAATAATATTATCTTTATTTCTCGTTCTTCATTTAAACATTGTCTGTATTCGATTCGCGCGCTTAAGAATTTCTATAATTTCAAATACTTTATTTTTACATTTGGCATATATTTAAATAACCTTGTGTGACCAGTATTTGATTGTCGGATCAGTTATTTTGATTTCCCATTCATCAAATGTTTTAGATTAATGTAGATGTAATTAAATTATTTTTGCCAAATATGTAAGCACTTTCCATCCTCTTGTAAATATTCATATAGTTTTGGATATGTTAATTGGTTACTTAACTCCTAGTGATAGATTTCAATGTTCATAAAAAATTGTATTTTTGTCTAAAACTTTTTAAGAACTGGGATTACTATACAAATTAACATTGTAACCTATTTGTTTGTGAGCTGAAATATCACATGTATTAATAAAATGTTCCATAGACAGATTATAAATTCGTTTTGATAATGCACTGATAATATTTATTTTATTGTATTTTAGGCCTAACAATATAATTATATCGCTGTTCGGTTGCCATTCCTTATCTGTATTCAATGTTTTTTTAATTATATTAATCATAATTAATGTACCTAAAATTTTAAATACATATAAATTTAATCCCAGTTATAAATCTTGTAAATGTATGTAAATTTTAGTAGTCTATATTAGATGTTACGTAGATTGTACCGTCTAAAGCATATATAAAACATTAAAAAAAAACAAACGGTAACGATATTAAAACAATTACAAATCGAATATGTTTATTTTATTTTACACAAAAAAATTATAAATTTAAATAATATCAATAAAAATCGAAGTCCGAAAAAAACCGAAAAAGGTTCATTTGTCAGATATTAAGTTTAAGTTGATCAATGAAAGCTATATTATATGTATATAAATTTGTTAATAATAACTGATGGTGCTTACTGATTTCGCCTGACAAATATTTATAGCAAATACTCCGTACTGGACAAATGATATTATAACTACAATTCATATAATAATCTTAACATTTGAGTGTTGATAAATTCACTACTAGTATTTATCAGGGTCTGAAATATTAGAAAAGGTATCTAATTTTATCGACTTCAAAAAAGAGCAGATTAAATATAGAAGTACAACTAAAAGCTTATATAAAATATGTACTTGAACTTGCGAATGCCATAAACTTTATCAATTTATACTCATACATATGTTTAAAAATCATTATCTTATATTGATTCATTGTATCATTTTTGTATTTAAATGGTTACTTATTGCATTTCATCACCTCAAAATTTCTCATCTACTTATCGCATGTCGCCGTGCGGAGTAGGAGAGAAGTTAAATGCGCTTTATATTTTATAATATGGCAGCACTAGACTGAAGACTCACATCAGCTGACTGCAAAGCATTTTAATTTATAAATTATTCATGCAAGAGCTCTGACGCATTTTGGATCTGTTTTATGGTTTGAAGAAATAGTGATCATTTTTAAATGGTTTTATAATAATTCTTAAAAAAATATTAAAAACAGGTGATACACTTATTATTAATACTTACATACCTTTACATATGATTTGCGAAAGTACTTTTTATTGTCAGTAGGGATAGATACCTTCAGTAGAAATTTCGTTTCTATTGTAATGAAGTGGAAAAAACATCAAATCTTTTATTTATTAAAATTTTATAGCATACACTAACAGCGAAACGAACACGTGCAAGAGAACCAAATGGTATTTCGTTGTTAAGAATTTTCATTTTTTATAGGAATCAATCTATACTAATATTATAAAGCTGAAGAGTTTGTTTGTTTGAAAGCGCTAATCTCCGAAACTACTGGTTCGAATTGAATAATTATTTTTGTGTTGGATAGTCCAGTTATCTAGGAAGGCTTTAGGCAATATAACATCACGCTACGACCAATAGGAGCAAAGATATAGTGGTAAATGTGTAAGAAACGGGAGAAATTATTTCATCTTTGAAGCCTTCCGTTGCGTGCGCCGTGAAAACGGTTCAAGATACACAAAAAATTTGTATTAAAGAATAATAGCTCTATTAATTATCTAAAAAATAGCCCGTGATAGTATATGTCTATCTTTTAAGATTAACTCACAAAAACCGTTTTTATGGTACCTAATTTTGTCGAAATAATTTAAGTTGTATCAAAATAATAATATTAATCTTTATTCATATAAACAAATAAATATGTTGTTGGTTAAGAGTACTTCATTATTAACAAAAAAAACATAGGTTTCATCCTGAAAATTCTACCGGAACTCGACCATTCCGAAAACCCCGCAAGAACGGGAACTATGTATGTGGGAAGAACCAAAAAAAGAAGCCGCGGCAAAAGCTAGTATTAAATATAAATCAAAATCATAATAATTTTAAAGCATGAATAATTATGTGTGAATATGTAATTTTTTTCTGAATAAATAAGAAATTGGGTGTTAAATAATACACACGATTTTGTTATTTGATGTAGACATACTCATCATGTATTATTTGAAGAAAATAAAAATTTTAAACAAATGTATGTAAAGAACAATTAAAATAAAATAAATATTTTCGGATTTACTAAGCCTTTTATAAATTTAATATATTAACGCCTTTTATAATTTAATTTTTAACGCCTTTTATAATTTTAACTACACACTATTCAACACTACATATAATATTAGTTTTATTTAAATGAATTATTGCGAAAGCCTTAAATCTAATTACAGCAAAAATTTTCGACGTTAAAAGAAAGTAAGGATGGGTGGATTTCATATTTGAAGCTTTTATCAATTCCTTGGAGTCCAGATGTTGTCAAAATGTCATAACGAAACTGCAGGCAACAATTTAAAGATTCTTTCAAGATTAGCTAAGAACATTATACAAAGTAGCCTTAATTTTATTTCCTCATTAAATTATGTCTCAGTTGGTGGTCCTATAGACAGTTCAGACGTTACATAAAGTTTTAAAAGCCTTTTGTCCGTAGCAACATTATATCATAGCATCAAATTATTATGAATATCCGTAATAGAAAACCTTAAAAAGATAGCCTCGTGTTACATGGGCATTTTTTAAGTATCTGTCTGTATGTAAAGTATTATCAATTGCAGTTTAAGATTACACAAAATGTATTACATTGAACACTAAACCTTGCTTGTAATTTATACTTATCAGTAACAAAGCATATATGATTAACTTGACATTTGTAGTTCTTTATATAAAAGAAAACACAAATTAAATTATAATCACATTTATTGATTGATTGCTATAATGATGTAGCATATAAATAAATTGTCTACTTCATAATCGTTTAACCTACAACTAGGAGGCCTTCATCTACAAACGTGTGGGGGGGTACTTCAAGGTTAAGTGGGGCTGGGCCTTTACGAATGCGTCCGGAAGCATCATAATGGGAACCGTGGCAAGGGCAGTAGTAACCGCCAAAATCTCCAGCGTTTGCAACGGGCACACAACCCAAGTGAGTGCATACACCAATCACCACAAGCCATTTAGGGTCTTGGGTGCGTTGATCATCATGCTCGGGATCACGGAGCTGGTCTACAGCGACTGCCTTCTCAGTTGAGATTTCGTTTGCCGTCCTGGAAATATGTTAATGTTAATAAGTAACCATTTTGATACTAAATATTGGTACATAAGTATGTGGTACAAAATAGATAATTAATGATAAATTTACTACTCTCAGGTTTCTATCCTTATTGCACCATATGTGCTTGTAAGGTAAAATGTGTCAGGACTTTATATGAAACAAGTATTACAATTATTGCTGTTATTTTTGATAAGATAAAATATTTACCTGTGACGAATGAACAGTGGCTTTCCACGCCACTTGAAGGTCACAGACTTTCCTTCGGGAATCTCACCAAGTTTAATTTCAATCTTAGCTAAAGCCAAGACGTCAGCGGCGGCCGCCATCGATGAAACAAACTGTGTGACCACAGACTTAGCGGCATAGGCACCAGCAACGGACCCCGCTAGTGAGATAAAACAAAGATTACTTTTGTATATTTCTTTTATACATATTCTTGAAAACAACAGAATAGTAAAAGAACCACTAATATCTCACAATGTTCTAGTGTGTCTCTTAAGAGTTTTTCTTTGTGCTCTTATCAGATTATTTGAACATCAGGACATTTCTATACCCATATAATTTAGTGTAAGATGTAGCCCAGGTTTTTAAATAATTTCATAAATATAACATATGTGATTTTAAAGCTTTACATTAGATTGATAATAAGTTCAATGCCAATATGCACATATTGACATTGTATACACTGTTACAATTTATATCTATAATATTATAACTCTAAGAGTAAACTTAACAATGTTTAGTTCAATAGTATGGTTTATGTAATTGCTTGAACTGCTATATCCTCACATAGATGGGATATTATTCTTGTTTCAGTATAGATGGAATGATTGGAAACAAAACTAACCTCCTGCCATAAGGTAGGTGAAGGCTTGTCGGCGGTCAACGTTTTCATCGGCCTTAACCTTTGGGTCCTGGGTCTCCTTGCGACGATAGGCGGAAAAGTCGGGATAAGCGATATCAGTATGCGCAAAACGTACTTGAGTTGGGGCTGAAAATGACATGTTATGTAACAAGAATTTTTAATAATTATCACTGCAAAATCAACTTCACTCATTCAAAATTACTTTACTTACCGAAATTTCCATGTCTCACTTTCAAACTATTTACTGGCAGGGCCCCATGAAGTGACTGAACGGTCGAAGTTTTTGGTAAAGGTTGGACGACCAGTTTTTCTGCTGGGGCTGCGACTGCTACAACGGGCTTCAGGCCATTATTAGTGATGGAGCAGGAGGCCTTAAAAAAAGGAGCTAAGTGCCCCGCTCGAGCCACAGAAGTCATTTTTGAAAATTGTTTTACGCAATAGAATTGCTTTTTATTTTTGCGTTACACGAACGCCTGATTGAGGAAAACGTCAGATTCAAGGATTGTCAAAATCTTACTTGACAAGAAATCAATAAAAGTTGCCATGCTATATTAACCAAGAAATTTTTTTTCAAGAAACTTAAGATATTTTAAAATACATAATCTTTAAGTTTACATTTATTTAAGCTAAACTAAAAATCATATTTATCCAAAAAATATATAATTGAGTGTCCAATTGTCTGTTCCTTTGTTTAATTATCATTAGTCTTATTTATTTCATATTAACTGTGATGCTGGGATGGTTAATCTTTTCTTAAAATAACTTTGATACTTTAACTTTTAACAGATCCGCAAATTTTTATTTTGAATTAAATTTATTTATAAACAGATTAATTGAAACGAAAGGTACTTGTTTCATGATAGGTTATCACATTTCAACTGACGTATTAAGTTAAATACATACATATATTTGAATTAGTATTAATAATGACGATTTATAAAAAAAATCATAATAATTAAGTATTAGTGTTTCTTACATAGATAGAACGAAAAATATTCACGATTTTTATAAAAAATAAGAGAGTACTATCAAATTTTCTGACCGATCAATAAACCTAGATTGAAAATTTTTTTATGAATAAGTAATTAAAATATATTTTATTGTTATACACAAAAAAGTCATATTTTTGGAAAAAAGAAAAACCTCTGTCAAAAAAAAACCAAAAGAATTCTCAAAATTTTAATGACATTATAAAATAGGAATACAATTATATTCTTTGGGATTTTGGTCCAATGATTACTGTTGTATACTATTAATTTTAACTACGATTAATTTGTTCCTTATTACAATTTCTTAGCACAAAAGAAAGATGAGCGTTTTATAGTCAAATGTTTAATTAAACAAAGTAATTAACATATTTTATTTGTAACGAAGACCTATTTCGTTCGACCTCGTATAATTCCCTTAGTACACGTAGTTATGTAAATATTTCATGGCCATTCCGCAAGAAGGCGCTGCGTTTTGTTCAGCTGTGTCCGTGAGCGTCACACACACATAGATAAAGACTTACATTGTGAGTACAAGACGCATGTTTCACACATTCACAATAATCCTTGATAACTCAACTACGCCTGTGGCAATAAATAACGCATTTAGTAGCGTAAGTCGTTTAAAAATTGTAAGGCTGCGTATATTGCGTTTAGTACGTTCTTTAAACTAGTTTAGTAATCATGCATTCAATAAACAATATTAAAATTTAGATTTTACATCTACATTTACGTTGCAGGGGTCAGGAAAGATTATTATATTATTTTGTTAATTATTTATTTCTAACTATTGTTTATTTTTAAAATACGTCATTGTGTTTACGAAGCAAACGCAACAAAAAAGCAAATTAATATTTAAATTACATTGTTGTGTTATTACAACAAAAAGTTTAGAGAACGATACGTTTGTAATGACCTTAACTTGCATTTACATTTCCGTGGTACCAGATCTAAACGTCACGTCACGCACAAATTTATAACAATAATAATAATTTGGCCACCTACTCACACAACTACCGGTTAGGTGTGAATGCGTGTGGGTTCAAAAATTTCCTAATAGATGGCGCTAGTAATTAACACATGTGCGTTTAGAGATGCGTTTCAGAACTGAATAGATACAACGAGGTTAGATAATGGCGGCGATGAGCGGGGCGCTATTGGGAGGGACGGTCCAATTTAAAACATGCCATTACACAATGAATTTATTACCGCATACGGCTGACACATTGCGTGCATGTCATGTGCGTTCCATGGAATGTTTAAATAATTAACGTGCGAGGTGCTTTATTATTAAAATAATTAAAGGCTAGAAATAAGTTCTATTCATTTCCTCTAAAAGGTAACAGGATGTTGCTATAAAAATATATACCAATAGTTTAGGACAATATCGATAAATTCAATTATGCATTTACTCTTTTAAAACTTAGCCCGTGTTGAAGAAAATATTGAAATTATAAAAAATAATGACGTTATGTATTCGATTTAACTAATATTGTCAGACAAACTGCATAATTTAACAAATAGAATTCTAATGTTTGATTTTACTTGGCTTGAATCCAAATTGAGCGGTCATTTTGTGTAATTTGGCAACTTTTCCGCCTCGCCGACACCTGTCGTCATCGACTTAAGTCTGCGAAGTTCAAATCTCTCTGGATTTTTATTTTACGTGACTGTTAGGCATAGTTATCTTCGCTGATAGCGGAATAAGATATAAAGCAGCAGGCGAACGAGTTTTACAACTATCATTCAATAAAATTAAATTTATTACGGATTTCATTCGACTACAGAGGCTAATACAGTTAGCGTTAGGGCATACCTTTGTGTTATTAAGAATAAATTAGGGCGTAAATTGTTGCCTCAATACCTGTGTATCTGGTAGTATTTTTTATATTATTTGCGGTGCGTTAACCTATAGGCTTCGTGTTCCTTTTTCATTCTAAACTGGTTAGGAATTTGTCCACAACAAAAGCTGAGAGGGAAGATTAAGGAAGGGCAAGTTTTGTTATATCAAAGTAAAAACATGCTCTATAGAATTCAAGATGCCAAACATGATCCACTAATGATTTTGTTTACAATTCAAGATGTTAACTGCAATGTACCTAATGAATTTTGTCCCTAATAATTTCTGAATCAAACAAATTGGTATATTTTAGCTAAACCATCAATGTATGCGATTGAAAACTAAATTATTTATTGTCATACATGCAAGGACAAAAACACACAATAAGTTTGGTCAACGTAGTATTTTGAAACATTGGATGTGATGGTACAAAATGAAGTCATTGATAGCGTGGGGCCACATGCGGAAATCTTTGTGCTTCAAGGACAGACAACCAGTTTTAGACCGGTATCATATAGCAGAAGGGTCTGAAGTGTTTTACAATTCTTTACGAGGTTACACTCATACCCTTCGTTTGACGTCGTATTATGTACCCATGATTTCATGATGTCATTACTCGTAATGAGAATTAGATCTTTGGTATATGCAATTATATTTAATTAAGAAAAAAACCTATGATTACTAACATATCTAAAGTTATATAGTTCTGTTAGTGAAGAATCTGGCATAATAAAAAATTGGTTTTAATTTATATAACAATAACTTTATAAATTACAATTATATGCTAACTGGTACGTGTGGAACTCAATGGCTTTGTGAGCGTTGAATTAGATTATCGAGGGTCACATTTTAAATGGGTCAAGGAATGTTATGATATTGTAACACTGACATTTGAAGCAACTGGAATACATTTGGGTATTTTATTTCGGGATTATTTTAAACAGCATTCCTATGACGAACTATTTATATATTAATTTAGATATATAAATATATTTCTATTCTAGATGAAGCTATTCTAAGTGTTGCTTATTTGGTGAAACATATTCATATATATGTATTTATGAATTAAAAGTGGACTCGATGAGGAAGTACCAGTTTGATGGTCAGCGACAGATGTAACATTTCTGAAAGGTGTAGTTTTTTAATTTTTTTCCTGAGGTTTTCTTTAGATCTTGTTTTTTTTTAATGAAAAGAAAGTATCTTGTAGTAGGATTAAATAATGTAGCGATATTGTAATTAAATATTTTGAACATTTTTGTTTCACTCAGTTTTTGTTCATTTAGAAGAACACGAATACAGCAATCTTATTAAATTTTAATTCTAGTTCAAGTTCATTAAATATTAAATTTTCATCAAATGAGCGAAAAAATATATGTGACATATTTCATACGTCTTCATAGACCACAAATAATAAAACAAATATTTTGAAAGTCATCAGAGAGTGATAAAATGGTAATAACACCACTATGAGGGTATTTGCATAGGCATAGCGAGGGTGATTTTGGACAAAAAATTATATTTCCTAATAGTTCGTTGTTTTTTAGTCTTTCAATAGTTTTATAGTTCTTGTAAACAATTTTAATTACTTATAGCTGATGCTCTAACTCATGTAATATATTATATTTAATGCATACATTATATTATACAAACACATGGGTCCAAATGTGCTAGGAGTCGTTGACACTAACATGTGTCCTGCAGATTTTGAACATTTTAAGATCTAGACATAGAACAAATACGTACAGAAATATTAATAGTGTTAATAGTATCAGAACAGCCAATTTAAATACCAATTTTGAAAGTAGAGATCAGAAATATAAGCTTTATTATCAAATACTATGGTCAAATGAACAGATCGACTTGTATGTTATATAAAATTTTAATCAATAATATTATCAGGGACAGATAGCCAATAGAATAAATTATTCCATTATTAAGTTATATTAACATATCCTCAACACCTGTTTAATGTGTGAATTCTGTTACGGTTATTTTATATGAGAAAATTGCACTTTAAAATTGCAATAATTTTGCACATGCAATTCCGTAGCAATTCTACGGATTTTGTAGATATCGTAGCTGCATCTACAACTTGCAACGATGCAACGTAGCGCAGTGTAGCTCAATGCGTTCCGTAGGCGAACGTGCAAATATATATTAAATAATTTTTTATATTGAAATATAATATAGTTATAAATAGGTATATTATGTAAAAAAAACTTGTGGTTCGCCTAACGAGGTAATGAACATATTTTATGTATAGATGATATCGTGTAATTAATTTAAAACAGGTTTGAACGAAGTTTCTGAATAAGCGGTATCTAAACAACTATTCAGTGTGAATAAAAAATATATATTTGTTAATGAATATAAAAGTAATATTCTAGTTCTGTATGAGGTTTGTTTTATTTTTGATGTTTATTAACGAGAGTCGTGTGTGAGATGCGCAGGCGCAGGCGGACGCGATGCCTGAACGCGGCTATCGAACTCCAGCCGGGTTTATTTTCATTGCTATGTTTTGGTCAGCACCTCTTATAAAATAATATTAAGGTCACGCTACATAGAAAACAGCGGGTTTGGGTTATAAATA